ATGAAGGTGGAGGGGCGGAATTGGTGTTGTCGCGCAAACACACCTATTTACAGCTCTTAGGTCTTCGCATTTATGAAACTACTTATCACCGTCAGCAGTCAAAAAATTATAAATGCCTTTCGTGATAATTATTATGCTTAAATCACATCAGCACTTATGAAGCAAATGACTTAGTTACATTTGAACATGACCAAGTAATCAATTTCATTTTGCCAACTATGAAACTAAATATCAATGCACCATTAACAGTAAAGTAAATGATCACACTGTTTATGATACTAATAATGCAAATATGACATCACCACGTTTGAGGGTAACTTGCATTTTAACATGACCAAGTAAGCAGTTGCATCTTGCCAAATATGGAACTAAATATGAACGCATATCACCAGTACAAAAAATAAAACTGTGTTTATGATACTGATAATGCAAATATGACATCACACGTTTTGAAGGTAACTTACATTTCAACTGCGCCTCGTGAACAGTTAAATCTCCGCAAATATGATACTTAATTTGTCAGAATATCACCTGTAAAGAAAATGAAACTACTGTGTCTGATACTAATAATGCGAATATGACATCACCACCGAAATTAGGTATCTAAAGTGGCCACTCCCCAATCGAAGTGAACAAATTAATTTTGGCAGGTAAAATTAGTAAGGGGACTGCTCTATAAATAACAAAGTGATATATTTTAACTCACATTGCACCACCGGTTGGTCCAAACAACCCTCAACTCCCCATGGGTTCACCTACGAAAATCCCCCCCATACTTATAACAACTCCACCAAAAAATGCAAAGCCTATCTCACACAAGAATAAGAACGCTGAAGATGTTGCCATAGGACATGCGAAATCCATAAACTTTTCATCTAAGGACCACGATGATGCAGGTCGTATCGGATAGATGCGGTAGGATGCGTTGATGATTGAAATAAAACGTCAGAAGATACGTCTAAGATGGTATGAAGAAACATTGGGGAAGGAGAAAAGTCAAGCGAAATTACACCTTCGATCAGTCAAAATAATGAAATTGAGGGTTAGGCTTGCGAAAGGACAAGGTTTTCGAAGGTTCAGGGGGTCGAATGAGGCAGTGCAGATGAGGGAAGCAGAAGCACGTAAAGGGTTTGACCTATTCCAGGAGTACGCAAAATGTGTTGTCCCAAGCTACAACTGGGACGGAATCACCATGGAGTAAACCGTCGCTGGACAACGTTCATTTTGGTTATTTTTAGTATGTTTGTTTGGAAAAAATAGGTGGTTCATTTTGACTGCGTTTGTTCCAAATTTGTGTGCGCTCCTGAAGGTGTAACCATTTTGCTTTGGACACTTCA